CCCTTTGGTCCTCAGGCCAATGCTCTATCCACTGAGCCAAACTGGCCAGGCTCATTCCTGACTTTTTTTTTTTAATGCTTCTACAAACATAGGAGCAAGCATCTCCCCCCACCTCCCTCCCTTTGTTTTATGCTAAAGAAATTATAAAGAAAACAAACCATCTCAGCAACTTGCTCCCCCCCCCCCCCCCCCCCGCTTTAATTGGGGACATCTACCCCATCGTTGTGTCTAGCTTTACCTCATTCCTGTCTTTGCTTTCTATTATATGGATATCTCATAATTTCATTCTCCCCTCTGCTGACGGATGCGTGAGGCTGTTGCTGTGATTGATCATTGTGTGCTGCGCACCTTGCATGTGTATACAAGTCCATATCGCTAGAATGGGTGGAGCCAGTGGGTGTGCACACCTAAACTTACTCTCCAAAGACAGTTACTGACCTGTACTCTGATTTAGATTTTCTCCTCTTCGACTGTTTTTAAAGTTTCACTTTCAAAACAGTTTCTGTTAGAACAAAGGAAACACATTGAAGCGTTTTCTTCACAGATTTTTGTTGTGGATTTAAAATTCCTTCCAGGTAATCTTTTTTTTTTATTCCAATTGTGTGTGTTTCCTTATTATATTCACAAAGTTCGGGTTCCTTCCTGCCTACACCCACTTCACAGTTCTGCTTCGTGGGGTGTGCTGCTGGAGTCAGGGTGCATTGCAGGCTCACAGCCCCGTCTACCACCCGGGTGTGGGACCCGGGGCCCCTCCCACCCAGGTTCATCCAGTGAGCGCATCACTTGGGTGGTGAGCACATGACCTTAGCAGCCCCACCTCCTCTTCCCAGCATCCTGACAGCTGCCCAGAGCGCACCTGTTTTGTCCATTCATGAAAGAGCCTGGTACTCCCGCGGCTTAGTCCTGGGGAGAAGGAAGGGGAGCTAGACCTGGTCATCTTCTGCACTGCCTTGGCTACCATTTTGGAGATTGTCCGTTGTTCTTACGGGAACGAGAGGAAAATACTGCTGCTGGGAGCATCGGTGATCTTTTTTCCAGCGTTTGTTTAGTTGTAATATGGTAATACTTTACGGGAATGAACTCTGGCTGACCTGCTCAGGGGTTATAAACTTGAAAACACTGAGGGTTTTGATTTGCTCAAAGGAGGCGTTTACCCTTTTTGGAGCACAACGCCAGTGGGAAAATAGGTTCTCTGGCGCTTACTGTGTTTAAATGCAAGGAGCGTGCCTCTCAAGCCTGGTGCCCATCTCAAAAGACATAACTTTTAAAAGAATGACTGAGGATGTATTTATTGATTATTGATAAAGAAATACATCCATAATATCTGAAACAATTATGTTATAAAAAGCATGTATCCTCCTTTTTTTAAAAAAAAAATGAATGCCCATATGCATATATAGACCGAAAGGAGTTAAAAGTTAAGGAGCATGGGATGGGTTTCTTATGATTTGGGGTGACCTTAATGTACTGATGGCACCTGAACCCTTAGCAACAGTCTGAATTATTTAGATGGTTTGGGATGGGAGGGAAAGGTAATGACCCATCCTCAAGAACACAGGAGGTCTTGTAAAAAGCAGCTCTTAGTGGAGCACAGAGCGCGGAAATATCTGAGTGTGGTGAGGAACGGAGCCCCATTTCTGTGTGGGGCAATGTGTGTCATGGACTCGGAATGCTCCCTGAGACATTTCCAGGGGTCACAGCGTGGGTGCACTTGCTGGATCCAGGCTATGAATATACTATAACAGGCTCTAAACTCAGTTTTAACAATGTCACCGACATAAATTGCCTGTCACCAAAGTCAGTTCATCAGGTGCCTTCCTGAAGTAGAGACAGGTGCCTGTGGCCGCTGGGAATGACTGATCTAACATTTATCTACCACATTTCACGGATAAAGTCGGCTGGCGGGTGATCTCAGTTTTTAAGACTCACTTTATTTACATCGTCTAATATAATCCATCATATACATATAACATTTCTTTTTTTAAATCATTTTTTTATTTTCAATTACAGTTGATATATATGTTATTATTTTGGTTTCAGGTGTATCCCTCCCCACATGATTAGACATTATGGAACTTACTAAGTGATCATCCTGATAAATCTCACACCCACCTGGCACCATAATTAGTTGTTAGAATACTAGAGACCTGGTCACAAAAGTCGTGTACTCGGTCGGGCAAGGGGGGTGTCCCTCAGCCTGGCTTTCGCCCTCTGGCAGTCCGGGACCTCTTGCTCCTTACTGCCCGTCTGCTCACTGCTCCTTGCAGGTGGGCTCGCTGCTCCTCAGTCAGTGCTGCCACAGAGGTGGGAGAGGCTCCTGCCACCACTGCTGTGCTTGCCAGCAGTGGGCCCAGCTTCTGGCTGAGCAGTGCTCCCCCTGTGGGAGCACACTGACCAGCAGGGGCAGCTCCTGCATTGAGCGTCTGCCCCTGGTGGTCAGTGCTTGTCATAGCGACCATTTCACCATTTGGTCAATTTGCATATTAGCCTTTTATTTCATAGGATTACTGACTATAGTATATTCCCTGTGCTGTATTTCACATTCCCGTGTCTATTCTGTTACAACCAATTTGTACTTCTTAATTCCTTCACCCTTTTCACCCATTCACCCAAATGTACATATAACATTTCTAAACGTGGATGAAGGTTTGTGCCTGTGTTGTATAAGATCCTTCACGTTAAAACATACTAAATTTGACTCCTGCTAAAGGTAGTTTGGATTTGATAATTCACAAAGCATTATGAGAAATCTTTCAAGAATTATAGAAGCTCTGTAGAACTCTAAACTCTATACAACTTCAGTGTTCTGGTTCCTAAACCAGGCGCTCAGTTGACCAACATTTACTGCATTGAAATGAATGTGTTATTACAGCTTTCTCCGGCTCCCTGTTGAGTTTGCCATGCTATGGCGTATATATCAGCATTTTTTTAGGTCCAGGATCCGTGGGGTTACCTTGTAGCCTAAGATAATATGTTCCTTGCTTAGTTTTTAGCCAAGGATATAAGCTTGAAAACATTGAGGGTTTTGATTTGCTCAAAGGAGGCGTCTACCCTTTTGGAGCACAAAGCCAGTGGGGTGGCTCTTCTTCATGTTGTTAACCAAATGTAAGCCTCACATGTGCACATCACTGGTGGGATTGAGCTAAAATACTCGTCATCATGGACCTTTTTGTTGGTGGGCGTTGTGGAGACCTCCCTCCCCCACCTTGGCCTTTGTCATTGGGTTTCATTTAAAAGTCCCATCTTTCATATTTTGGTAAGAGAGGGACTTAAGTGGAAGTGTAACCTTAGTGTTCTGACTAATAGTGGGCTCAGCATGGCCTGCGGAAGCCAGCTGCTCCATGGGCCGTGCGCGCAGGGAAGTCAGTGGCACAGGGTCAGGAGGCGCCCGGGCATGGAAGGCAGCTTCTCCGGGAGCAGGGAACAGCCAGGTGAAGTGAATGCAGCACAGTTCAAGCCTTCCAGATGGACTGTCTTGAGCCCGCTGTCCCTTTAAGGCTGTGGTGGGAGTCACTGGTTTGGCCAGCCTGCTCCCTGGCCTGTCAGCAGTGTGGAGCGATGCTGAATGGAGTGCTAAGCTTTGGGATTTCTTTGGGGTCCAGGTCTGGGTGCTGCGGAGTGCCCTTGGAGGTGTTTTATCACTGTGTGTGGCAACAGGGCCTGCAACAGGGCATCGTGTTGTAGGGAAACCCTGGACGCGGTCAAGGGTGAGGCCTGGCCTCCAGGCCACGGCCACCTCCGTTTCTGAGCTTGTCCGGCCAGCCTGCCATCAGGCCTCCTCACCTGTGAGATGGAAGCCCTGGCACCTGCTACGCTGGCTTTAAGACAAATGGGAAAAGCACATGAACTATAAAGCATTGTTGAAATCTTGAGGTTCCTATAGGTTATTGTGCTATTTTTGTTATTTTTTATTTTTAAAATATATTTTTATTGCTTTCAAAGAGGAAGGGTGAGAGATAGAAACTTTAATGAGGAGAATCACTGATTGGCCCGCCCCCTACTGGGGACTGAGCCCAAAACCCGGGATCCTTCAGTCTGCAGGCCGACATTCTAGCCACTGAGCCAAACCGGCTATGGTTTACTGTGCTATTTTTATTTGGCTTCACATTTTTTTACCTATAGTTTCAGGATTTAAAAAAAAAAAAAAAATGGCCTGAGGGCATGTCTGTATGTCCATTGTTTTTGCAATTGATGACCTCAATTGCACAAGCCATTCAATAGGGAAGATTGCAAATGACCGTTTCAGTAATATTTTTATGGAAAACAATAACTCATAAAAACGGTTACATACCTCTTTTTTGTTCACTCTGCATAGACTGGCCTTGGAATCATGGAGTCTTTCAACTTGCCCCCTTCTCTGCTCCCACTCCCGCCTCTCAGCCTCTCCTTGCCCGGGAGCTTGGACCTCAGTTTTACTCTGCTTCCTCTGAGAGGCCTTCCAACACCCAGCCTCGGACAGGGCCCTCAGTTACTGTCCTTTGTTCTGTTCCTCCTCTATGACAGGTTCCAGAGCTGTGAGTTAGTCATTATTTTTTTTTAACTGTCTGCCCTCTCCCTTGAGAAGGACACATTGTCACCTATGCTTGTTCTAGTCAAATATGCATAACTTCCAATCACAAGGAAACATTAAAGTAAAAGACTTTTTTTTTTTTAGTTCTGCCTTCCATGGTAATTTATAAGCTCAAAATGGTGGGGACCACACCTGACGTATTTATTGTTTGTTATATTTCAAATAAGCCTGGAATGGTGGGTGTGTAAATCATAGAAGGGTTCATATGAATGAATGAGTGAATGAATGAATGAATGAATGAATTGTGTGTACACTTAACTGCTTTTGTAGGGAAGCTGGATCATTCAGATGAATAAAAAGGGCTTAAATCTTCACTGTCACCCACCCTCCTCTTTTTCTGTATTTCTCCTCGAAATGATGTCTCTTTCTTGAAGTTCCCGGATTCCTAAGTTGGCTGTGAAGACTGAAATTACGTTTTGTCTTCCCGTAGCTCCTCCAGAAGAATGGTCAGCTGTCCACCCTCAACGGCTTAGCTGAACAAGAAGAGCTCACTGCCCAGGAGGGGGCCCTGAACGGCCAGGAGGCGGAAGTCATTGTCCCAGAGAGTAAGTCACCCTTCCAGGCTCCGAGCAGAACCACGGGGGGTTGGAGGGCAAACCACACCTGCCGTGAGCCCAGGAGAGGAATAAACACGGGTCTGGGCGGGATGAGTAGATACCGTCATCCTCCCCGGGGACCAGTAGTGTTGACAAGATAAGCAATGGATTGGTTACCAAAGGAAATGTTGATCTGACCATTGGGGTAGGCCCTACACCCAGGTGAGGAAGTTATAGACCAGTTCCTGGGCTCAGGAAGTGAAGTCACGCTTCCTCCTCCTTAGACTCCTCAGCTGGAACATCGCGTTTTTTGTTTTGTGTTCTCACTGCTGCCTCGTCCCAATTACTTGTCTGGTGTCTAATGTGAACCTGTTGCTTTAAGAGCCAGCATCTCTCACTCCGGAGAGAGCCCGCTGCAGGGGCACAGGTGTGTCGTCGTGTGCGTTTCCCACTGGGCGCCTCTCTTTGCCTAAACCGTGAGATGTCGCATGCATGCAGCCCCTGGGCCTTGAGATCCTGGAGGGGTGGTTCTGGCAATAACATATTTGGTTGTTAAAGGACTTAGAGAACTCATTGCTGTATACCAGCAAGCAAGCCATTGTCTCGGGTTTTAATACGTTTGAATTTATTGTTGACAAGGCATTATTTATTTATTTATTTATTTATCTATTTATTTATTTTCTGCAGAGTAGACACAGCCAACATCATAAATCATGTGAGAGCCATGTTTCCTCTCCACCTTTCACAGGTCACATGTGTTTGTGTGACCTTTTGGCGTTGACATTTTTCTCACACGTGCTTTGCTCACACTGTTTGCACAGCCAGAGGGAGGACATTGGCGCCAGCAGTTGGATGCTGGGCGCTAGCGTTGGCCCCTGGGGGCCGCTGCTTTCAGAGTATCTGCCCGCTAACCAGAGAACAGGCTGTGCTGCCCTCTTCAGAGGATGGTGACCAGGTTGCTCGGGCATGGGGACCACTATTGTATAGCTGCTCTGACCCCAGGGGCAATACTCACCCTAAGAAAAATAAAGACCAGCCTGGCCAGTGTGGCTCAATGGTTGAGTATGAATCAGGAGGTCACAGTTCGATTCCTGGTCAGAGCGCATGCCTGATTGTGGGCTTGATCCCTAATAGGAGGTGTGCCAGAGGCAGTTGATCAGTGATCCTCTCATCACTGATGTGTCTATCTCTCCTCCCTTCCTCTCTGAAATAAGTAAAAATATAATTTTAAAAAAAGAAAAAGAGCCAAAACCGGTTTGGCTCAGTGGATAGAGCATCGGTCTGCAGACTGAAGGGTCCCGGGTTCGATTCCGGTCAAGGGCATGTACATTGGTTGCGGGCACATCCCCGATAGGGGATGTGCAGGAGGCAGCTGGTCGGTGTTTCTCTTTCATTGATGTTTTTAGCTCTCTATCCCTCTCCCTTTCTCTCTGTAAAAAGTCAACAAAATATATATTTTAAAAAAAAGAAAGAAAAATAAAGACCAAAAAACCCCCAGAATGTTGTTGCTTAATGCAGAAGCTTTCCTGAGGGTGGGCTTCTTACCTGTCACAGGATCCTACTTCTCTGTGCCTGAATATTTCCCACAGACACGGGCACGAAGGAGCTACTGGTCAGCTACCTAGAAGCTTAACTTGAAAGCTGGAGAATTTCATTTCTCACGTGGTGCTTCTCAGCACCGCCTTGGCTTTGATGCATTTGCTGTTAGAACCAGCCGGCTCCGGAGCCGTGCTTGTGGGACATGGACAGGCCACAGGGTCACTGCCACGCCATCAGCCCTCCCTGCGGATCTCGTTACCTCAGAAAATCCATTCTGGAATGACAAGCAGTTTTCCTTTGCTTTTGATCATTTAGGGACGTTCTGGGTAGTGAGTACCCGGAGGGCTGCTCCAGGTCTCTGTTCGAAGATGGCCCGCCTCCCCCCAGATACTTGTTTTTCTCTCTGAGAGGCTGTTTCTCTACTGGGAAGAAATGTTTTTCTGATTCAAACCCTTTTCGGTTTCCATCGGTGACATTATTGGCACCGTGGTGGTGTTTCCATGCAGACAGGCCTGTTGCCCACATTCCTCGTCATTTCTCTCCGCATCACTTGTCAACATCTGGCACCCCGCACGCCTGTGTCTTACCCCCACCTCCGCTGGGACTGAGGGGGCTTCTAGATGGTTCCATCCTGAATCCCCTGAGCCTAGAACAGTGTCTGACACATAGTAGGTGCTTCAGCAAATATTGGAGTGCATGAAGACACCGTTTGAAGTTAGCGTTAACAATATTATATAGTTACTTCTATCAGAGTGGAGGGCCTGTTTTTCGCTTTATATCCATTTATTTATTTTTTAAAAATATATTTTATTGACTTTTTACAGAGAGGAAGGGAAAGGGATAGAGAGCTAGAAACATCGATGAGAAAGAATCATCGATCAGCTGCCTCTTACACACACACTACCGGGGATGTGCCCGCAACCAAAGTACATGCCCTTGACCAGAATCGAACCTGGGACCTTTCAGTCCGAAGACCGACGCTCTATCCACTGAGCCAAGCTGGTTTCGGCCGTATCCATTTATTTCCTGCGTTTTTTAACACGCAGCTCTGTAGAGTCATCCATGGCTTCTTGGTGGCATCAGCTCTGACACAGCTGGATGCTTTTCGGTCCCCGCGCTGGGCTCTCTCAGGTGCTTGCTAGGGGTTGCCCAGGTGTTGCTGGGAACGTGAAATCGGACCCTGACCTGCTCGTGATGAAATGAGGACTCTTAGTCTCCACATGCTGCTGAACGTAAGCGCTCAGTAGACAGAGAGAGGGGTTTTTGTTTTCCCCACTCTGGTATTTTGAGTACAATATTATTGCATTGTTTCTCAAGCTGTATCCTGTTTTGAAAACGAGGGCGAACACTCACCAAATAGGCCTTCAACTTGACAAAAGCACGAAAGCTGTGCAGTTTCTGGGATCAGTTTTAATCCAGGCCCCGCTCTGTAGCGGTGTTCTTAGCACGCCTCTCTGAAATTACTTAGGTCATTGTGACAAATTTGGGGTGTAATAGTCTAGTGCTTTCATCTTTAAAGAAACACAGATTCTGTTTGTTTGTTTTGTTATTAACAGCCTAGCTGTATGGAGAAGACTTTTTCCCTCTGAACTGCATCCAAGTCTGACAGTGCAATGAGCCTTAATTTTTCCTTCTAGCTTAAAAAAATGGGGGAGAAGGGAGGTAGAAGGAGTAAGATATTTTTAAAAAAGTATATTTTATTGATTTCTTTACAGAGAGGAAAGGAGAGAGAGAGTGTGTTAGAAACATCGATGAGAGAGAAACATCGACCAGCTGCCTCCTGCACACTCCCTACTGGGGATGTGCCTGCAACCAAGGTACATGCCCTTGACTAGAATCAAACCTGGGACCCTTGAGTCTGCAGGCCAACGCTCTATCCACTGAGCCAAACTGGTTAGGGCTACCAGAGGAGTACTATTCCTGAGGAGCATACTTAGAATTTTCCCCAACTACTTGTGTAGTGAAAGTGCCAGTACCCTGCCCATGTCCACCCATACCCCCAGTGTTACCAGCGCATGTGTTACTTCCTTTGGTGAGAAGTGGATGTGCTGGATTTCCTTAGTGGACGAACTGGTTGCTGGAATGTGTCTTTCTGTGGGCTCGCAGTATGTAGGCCGACACCACACACAAGGCAGCTATCCTGCTGTGTTCCTTTGCTGGGGCTGCCATGATGAAATGCCACAGAATGGGTAGTGTAAACCACAGAAATTTATTTATGTATCTATTATTTATTCTTTAAAATTTTTTTTTTAAATATCTTTATTGATTTTTAGAAAGCGGAAGGGAGGAGAGGAGGGGGACAGAAACAGTGATGTGAGAGGGAAACATGGATTGGCTGCCTCTGGCACACACCCTACCAGAGACTGAGCCTGAAATTTGGCACGAGCCCTGACCGGGAATTGAACCAGCGACCTCTCTGTGCACTGGGTAACGCCCAACCAAATGAGCCGTACAGGCCTGGGCCAGAAATTTACTTTCTCTCAGTCTGGAGGCTTCGAAGTCCAAGATCAAGGTGTCATCACGTTTAGTTTTTGGGAGGTGTCTCTTTTTGGAGGGGACACAGCGCAGCCCAGAACACCTGCCTTCCTGAGGGACCCGTGAAACGTGAAGTTTAGGGCCAGAAAGCCTCAGTGGAAGGGGACGTGCGGCTGTCTATCCAGGCTCCTGCCCCAGGTCAGTCGGAGGCCGTTCCGCTTACACACTGGAAGGTCGGGGGCATTTCTCTATAAAAAAAAAAAAAAAAAAGCCAGTAAATATATTTTTTTAAATAAAATAAAATAAAATAAAAAAGAAGCCAGTGCTCCACTGCCCCTGGAATGGCCTGGAACAGATCCCCTCCCTTCCCCGCACAGCAGCCCTCTAAATATTGGAACACATTTATCTTGTCTTCCCTTTCATCTCTTCTCCCCTAGGCAAAACATCTCCAGAGAAAACAAGCTGTCCCACATTAAAAGATCAGTGCCATGCCTTATATATATATTTCAAATACGAGTGTGTGTGATGGAAGCTTGCCAAGCATAGCTGGGTTTCAGTGTCAACATTCCTGCTCCTTAAGAACAGTCTCTCCAACTCTGTAAGCAGCGAGAACAACTCGGTTTGCTTCACACCAAGTGTTATGACGTGCCGAAGGAATTGGCCAGAGGAAGGGCGTACATGGATGGAGAATATCTAAAAGAGGTCTCTTACCACCATAACTGGTTTGGCTCAGTGGATAGAGCATTGGCCTGCGGACTCAAGGGTCCGGTCAAGGGCATGTACCTTGGCTGTGGGCACATCCCTAGTGGGGGTGTGCAAGAGGCAGCTGGTCGATGTTTCTCATCAGTGTTTCTAACTGTCCCTCTCCCTTCCTCTCTGTAAAAAACTAATAAAACATATCTTTAAAAAAAAAAAAAAAAAAAAGACAGAGAGAGAGAGAGAGAGAGAGAGAGAGAGAGAGAGAGAGAGAGAGAAAGGGAGATCTCTTGCCAAGG